TAGGAAAGGCAATCTAACAGCAGCTCATTTTCTCATATTCTGGCTCACATAATCTGTCTGTGCTCTCTCCTCCTCCAATATATCCTGAGCTTTAGATGCTAGGATTTTGTTGTAGATGTGTCCTTTGGGGTGAGTTCCACATAGTCTGTTGATCTCTGTATTTGTTGCTGTTGATGTTTTTACTGTTTATTTTTTTATTATCTTAACAGGTCTTTTCATAGTGGAAAATGATTTACATTTTGAAACATAGCGTATTAATTTTTCGTTTCAATGTCTTGCTTTTGCTGTCACATCTGAGACCTCTTCTCTTAACTCTAGATCTCAATGATTTTTTTTCCTCCTGGTTATGTATTTTATATTCAAGGCTATAAAACATTTTGAGTTAGCTTTTATGTATTATTTTAGGCTTGGTTCATTTAGAGTTGTAATTTTGACTAAGGATGTTGAGTTGTTTCCAGATTAATTTATTAAAATATTTGTAGTTTTCCCATTGGCATTACCTTCATATTTTATCAAAAATTCTCTTGGTATATTCTATCCATGCACATGTTTTTCAGGATAGAGTGTTCTGTTCCACTGATTTATGAATCTGATTTTGTATTAACCTCCATTCAAACTTTTCATTTGGAATTATTTATATTTTTGTGTGCTGTTTGTATTTTCAGTTCTACTTTATGTTTTAGTAATTATGGCTTTACATTTCTTTCCACAGTCTTTCTGCTATCTTACTTCCTCTCTTTACCCTATCATTGCTTTCTGTGTATTCTTTGTTTGGTTTGTTGGATATACATTTTTTTCAGGGTGCTTAGAATTTTTTTCTTTTCCTTTTTTTTTCCAAAGTATGACATGTAGTTTTGCTGGGTATATTAGTCTAGGCTGACTGCCACCATCCTTTAGGATTTAAAAAGGATTACTCCAGATTCGTCTCGCTTTCAAGGTTTCCATTGAAATATCAGCTGTTCTGATGTGTTTTCCTTTATACATGGCTTGAACTTTGAACCTTTTTTTTTTGTAGTTTTCAATACATTTTCTTTGCTGTATACCAAATGTTCTAACTGTAACATACTAGAGGCATTTTTCTTTTCTAGTCTTGTTTATTTGATGAGCTGTGTGCTTCTTATATCCATTTGGGTATGTCTTTCTTTAGTTTGTAGATGTCTTCTTCTATGATCTTCAGGAATTGGTCTATGCCATTGACTAGGAATTCTTTTCCCTCAGCTATGCTCATAAGAGGATTTCGTTTTTGTTTGTTTGCTTTTTTCACAGTGTCTCACATTTCTTGGCTTCTTGAGCACCTGCTTCCAGAAGACAACGATTTCTTGCACCCATCCATTGCCTCTGACTCATGCTTTTCTCACCCCTGTTCTATAATGATCCGTGAGTCTTGGGAGGCTGTATAGATTGCATGTTCTCTCTCCCTCCTCCCTGCTCTCCTTCAAATAGAAGCTTCTCAGATGAGGTCTGTGAGATATACTGATCTATTAGTATAAATAATGAGTCAGTAGGAGTCAGTCTAATATTGTTTCCCAATAGCAGAGTAATAGAAGTAGGTTCCTCTCTGGGTGCCAATGTGCTGTCTATCCATAGAGTTTTGGCTTTATAATGATGCTCGATATGGGTTTCTTCTTGAGAAGTAAAATGTAAATACAACCAGAAAGTAGTTGTTTGCTGCCATAATATTCATGCCACTGTTGCACCCTTGGACATTTCTTGGCAGGGTTGTTGTTACTATAGTTAATAGGGTTCATGGATGGGTGTGACTCATGATTACTTACTTCTCTGATAGTGTAACTAGTAACTATGGCACCATGGAAGTTAATAGCAGGGATAAAGCTTTAAGGGGTATACCAAACTAATTTTGCTATGTTCTATGATTCTAGTATTTGGTCCTTTCTACAGTAGGATTTAATTGGCAAGTTCTGGATGGTAGTCGAGAGCAACAATAATAGCTTGTAGTGTTGGGGGGCCATCAATGCTAACAACTTCAAAGAGGCAACCAATTTCTGGAACCATACATTTTTTTATTGATTATTTTATTTATTTACATTTCAAATGTTGTCCCCCTTCCCAGGCTCCCCTCTGCAAACTCCTCATCCCATACCTCCTCTCTTCTGTCTCTAAGAGGGTGCTCTTCACCCCCTCCCTTGCCCACTTGGCCTCATCCCTCTAGCATCCCCCTTCCCTGGGGCAGAAAGCCTCCAGAGGACCAAGCGCCTCCCCTCCCAAGCTGGAGGTATGGGTTCTGCCATGTGTACTCTTTGGTGGGTGGTTTAGTCCCTGGGAGCTCTGAGGGATTAGTTGATATTGTTCTTCCTATGGGATTACAATCCCCTTCAGCTCCTTCAGTCCTTTCCCTGACTCTTCCACTGTGGTCCCCAGGGCTCAGTCAGATGGTTGGCTGTACCTGCATCTGTCTTAGTCAGGTTCTGGCAGAGCCTTAGAGAGACAGCCATATCCCATCTGCAAGCACTTCTTGACAATCAGCAATAGTGTCTGGGTTTTGAGATGGGTAGGTAGCCTCATCTCTCAACTTGGGTCCATGCTCTCTTGAGGTTCTCTCTCCCTTCTGTTAGATATTTCATCTAATGTCATGTCCATTGGGTCCTGGGAGCCTCTTGCATCACTGGTGTCTGGCATTTTCTAGTGGTTTTCCTAGTTCTCCATCTCTCCCCCTCCCCCTCCTGAACCAACTGCTACATATTTCTATTCATTCTCCTGGCCCTTTGGACTTCTCTCCTGTCCCTTCCCATATCTGATCCTGCTCCTTCTTTTTCCCTTCCCCTCCACTCTCCCACCCAGGTCCCTCCTTCTACTTCCCATGTTCATTTTGTTCCCTCTTCTAAGTGGGAATGAAGCTCCACACTTTGACCTTCCTTCTTGTTAAGCTTTATATGATCTGTGGGTTGTATCATGGGCATTCTGAGCTTTTGGGCTAATATTCACTTGTCAGTGAGTACATACCTTGTATGTCCTTTTGGGTCTGGGTTGTCTCACTCAGGATGACATTTTTTAGTTCCATCCATTTGCCTGCAAAACTTGTCAAGTCATTGTTTTTAATAGCTGAATTGTATTCCATTGTGTAAATGTACCACACTTTCTGTTTGACAGCTTCTGGTGTCTAGTAGCTCTGTGTGGAGTAACCCCTCTCTAATTATTTTTACTTATATGTGTGTAGTACATTTCCATATTTTCTTTTTTGATGGGTCTTTCATTTTATTTATCCCTTTCCTGCCCCACCTATATCCTGTTCTTCATTTTCCTTTCCGTTTAACACTTCCTACTCTATGATTCTCATAATCCTTCACACAAGTCTTTCACCCTCACTCTAGTCTTAGTCTAGCCCAATGGCCTCTTACTGATATGCTCACCTCTATTAACTTTTTATTTTTTATATTCAGCATCATTTTCCTGTTATCTATTCAAATTGTTTCTGGCAGGAATAGCACTTACTCTTGTGCCACTATTTCATGGTAAGGACTTAGTTGTTTACGTATTCACTCATGTAGACACACTTGTATGATTTCTGCTTCAGAGTCTTCTGTGGGTGAATAATAGCTATTAGCATTTATCTAAATTTTGTAAGTTTTTATTTCTCTAGAATGCAGACAGTGGTCACTCTAAGAAGTTTATTATTAGGTTCAGAAATAATTGCGTACTTTTATTCACTTCAGATGTATCATTTATGTTGTCATCTGTAAGATATAATAATAGTCATTTCTTTACAATCTCACCAGTATTTGGTGTTAATGCCTTTTAATATTGACTTACTCTGATAGAGTATATCAGAGCCTATACTTAATAAATATAGATTATGATTTTTGGATTGTCATTCATACAATGTATTTCCTCTCAATTTTTAACATGCCATTTTGTTATCTTTTCGCTTAATGCAACAGATATAGTGGGGTATAATTTACAAAAGAAATTTTTAGATTGAATTCTACATAGAAAAAATATTCTATTATTTGTCAACATCATTATCTCACAATCTCATAAATTTTTCATCTGATTCCTTTAGCAGTTGTTTCACAACATTAGAGCAAACAACAAAGTCTGCCATTTTTATCCTAAGCACTATAATAAGGCTTAACATTTTTCTTTTACTCTGGTAGTTTATACTTTATATACTATGTGTTAAAATTAGAAAATATACTTAATTCAATCCAGGATGAATTTTAAATTCAATACTCAGATTACTATGTAAAGAAAAATTTAGCCAGTAAAATTTTAATATGTTAAAATTTAAATTTCCTAATGAGATTCATGAGCGTTTTTAGTGCATTATGAATGTAAAGCTTTTGCAAATGCTAAAGCTTAGCCAGTACTAGCTGGCCTATCAGAACTATCCCTTGTTGCAGTGCAGGATTTATCAGTTTATAAACCAGTGCAGCTTATCAAATTGTATATTAGTTCAGTGCAGCCAACTCTGTAGGAGCTATCCTTGATATAGCTATAACATGCATATGTCTCTCTGTCTGCAATGTCTTTGCGTATTTTCATTACACGTGTTAATCAAAACATATTGTCAGAATTTGAGGAGAGCCTGGTCTAAAAGACATTCAGAACTATACAGAGAAACCCAATCTCCATTATATATATATATATATATATATATTTGTGTGTATATGTGTATATATATATATATATATATATATATATATATATATATAGAGAGAGAGAGAGAGAGAGAGAGGGAGAGAGAGAGAGGTTATGATAGTTTGGAGGTGAAACATGGGGCAAAAAGTGACCAAAGTATTGACATAAGTCTGCCATAAAAATATTAGTGTGAGTCGGACAGTGCCGTGGTGGCAAATATCTTTAATCCCAGCACTTTGGAAGCAGAGGCAGGCAGATTTCTGAGGTCAAGCAGATTTCTGAGGTCAAGGCCAGCCTGGTCTACTGAGTGAGTTCCAGGACAGCCAGGGCTATACAGAGAAATGCTGTTTACAAAAAAAAAAAAAAAGAAAGAAAAAAAAGGAAGAAAAAAGAAAATACTAGTGTGACCCTGGCAATGGGCAAACAGGCACCTTGTTGCAGTATTGTTCTTTGATCAGTCAGGGACAGAGCAGCTAGCAGTCCTTTGTTTATCCTAGCTTGATATCTAGCTTGGTGGTCAAAGCTGTTTTATGCCGAGGATGCTGTTTTGATGAGGTGTGGTACCCACACTTTTCTGTGGGTTTAAGGATACAACTTAGAATGCAGTAAGGAATTATTCTGTTATTGCAAAGTGGCCATACTAGATTCTTTCCTACAGTCTATGACCTCGCAAAGTGGCCATACTAGATTCTTTCCTACAGTCTATGACCTCACTAGCTGCAGAAAGCTGGCTAGTGCCTGGTGGGTGTGATTTCCCTCTTTGACTGCAGTTGATTGTCCCAACCTGTGAGTGTCATACTTGCCAACTCAGGGCCTTGGATCTGGGCCTGGGTAGTGGCTGAGCTTCTCAGCATGCCAGCTTTCCCTTATTTATACCATCAGAGTGAGCTCTACAGCACTGTTCACTACTCTGGCTAGACTAGCAAGTACAGCCATGGACAGACCACCATGCCACCCACAGACCTGTACTCCTGTGCACAGCACAGGTTGACAATAGGCACTTGTTTGCTACCATGCTAACCAGTGCAGACAGAGGGACTTGCCAGCCATGTGGCCAGCCTGCAGCCAGAGCCACCGCAGTGTGTGAGTGTGTGATGGACAGATGGGAGAGAAACAGAAGTAGAGCAGCTTCAGCATTATGGAATAGGTTGGAATTGGAGACTCAAGGATGAAAAGAAATAACCTGTTGTGAGTGGCCAGCCCTATTGTCTGGTAGCCATAGTGAGGTCCACATCCAAATACTTGGCAGCAGAGGTCAGTGTCAATGTCTGTAGTTTATATTCCCACAACAGAACATGGGGATGTCTCTGACCAGGGACTACATGGATATCCAGGATTGTTACATAACTGGTCCTCCCCTTCACTGGGTGTGGTGCTATGGAGAGCTGGCCCCACTTCTCACCAGAGGCAGGACTTTGGAGAGTAGGCACTGTGTCTCACCCAGTCAGCGCAATAGGGCTGGTCCTGGTGGCTGGGCTGTGGGAGATCTGTTTCAAGCAGTCAAGAAAACTGCCAACAGAGTCATTCGTGCCGGAGAGCTTGTCCTGTCTCTGACCAGCTGCAGTACTCAGGAAAGTAGGCACTGCCTGGACAACACAGCAGAGCTGACCTTGGTGTGTGTGTGTGTGTGTGTGTGTGTGTGTGTTTAGGTGAGCTGACCCTGATAGTGAGAGCATAGGAGAGCTGGTCTCAGCACTCCTCTACCTTGATGTGGCATGGATGTGAGGGTGATGCCCTCTTCCCTCTCACCCCTAGATACCTCCAGAAAGATGGCCCAGAAGTCATAAGAGTGGGTGAGATGGCTTTGTCCCTCGTTGGCTGTAACACTAGGGAGAGAGTACCCTGAACCTCACTTGGGCCACAGTAGAGCTGTCTCTGGAGTCATGGGTGCCAGTGAGCCATCCCAGGGGCAATGAGAGCATAAGAGCTGACTGTGCTTTTTGGTGATGACTGCATTGGGTAGCCTAGCCAGAGTAGTGAGCAGTGCTGGAGATCTCGCCCTGGTGGTGGAAACTGGCATGCTGACTAGCTTAGCTACTATCTAGGTCCAGATCCAGGGCTCTGTGTTAGCTCACTCCAAAATCTATATCACCTGCGAATGATTAGGATATGTGAAAGGGCCAGTCCTGCTGATCCAAAGCTGCGGGACCTCCATACAGAGGGCAACAGCAGGACAACCAGGACAAGAATCAGTGAGGATCCAATATTGATAGTGTCACAAAAGCCAGGGACCAGACCAATGGCTCATTGCAATGAACAGTTGCAAGGGACAATGTATAGACAGAGAGATATACTGTGAGGCACACTGTGACATACTACAGCTTCCACAATGAGATGTTTTTCTATGCTTTGGATCGTGTGTGTGTGTGTGTGTGTGTGTGTGTGTGTGTTTGTGTGTGTCTGCATTATTTTGGGGTCAATGTTGCAATAGAAAGTAATTTTTAAGAAGAGAAAAGAAAATATTTGTGTGGCCTGGAAAGAAGAAGGAGAAGAAAAAAGAGGAGGAGGAGAGGGAGGAAGAAAAGCATAGAGAAGACCTAATACCAAATTCTTGAAAAAAAAAAAAGAAAGAGAAGGGCAGTTTTTTTTTTTTAAGGCTATAGGGTATCAGCGGTTACTCCATCCCAGTAAAGTTGATGAAATGGACAAAATCCTTGCAAAAGATGGCTTCCTAAAACCAAGGTAACAAAGAAGTAATTTAAGTAGCTGTGTATCAGAGAGATGAATTGAATTTCTAAATTAAATATATATTCTGAAAAGAAACTCAGTTGCAGATGGCTTTATTGGTGAAAGCTGCCAAACACTTAAAAAGAAACAAAACTGATTCTACACACTTCCTCTCAGAAAATAAGGGAAAAATCATGACAAAACTTCTTTTTATAAAAGCATTAAAACTAAAAAAGCAAAATATAAGACAAACATTACAGACTCACATTCTTAAAAATATCTGTAGTAAAACACTGACTTGTATGTGTTTGTGTGATTACGATCACAATTTGCTAGGAGGAGAAGCTTCTTTGATAGATGTCTCTCTTTGTCTCTCTGTGTCTGTGTCTCTGTCTCTCCCTGTGTATGTGTGTGTACATATGACCACTTACATGGGCAGGTGAGAGGACAGATAGCAAGAGTTGGTTCTCTTCTTCTACCATGTGGGTCTTTCATAACAAACCCAGCTAATCAGCTAGTGCAACTTGGTGGAGAGAGCATTCACTAGCTGGCCTCTCTCACAGGTTCTTTTTGTTACTTTGTAGACCTTGGCAAGCTGATCTCAACACAAACGTGTGAAGACAAAGACCCAAGCGAGGTAAAACATTCTGTAACAAGAAGAAAATAGAAGGTAGTTGTATTGGAAATATATATTGGTTTTAAAGGTTTTAGGTCAAAGTTTAAGTGTTTCAAAGGAATTTTATTCGGACAAATTGTATGTAAGAGAAACTAATTCAATCCAAAAATGTAGTAATGGGAAAATTTAAATATGAATTTAAACCACAATGCTCTCAACATGTTTTACAAGTGGGTATTCTTATACACAGAATGACAGAAAGATAAAATAATTTGATCTTCGAAAGTGCTGTGTCATTTAGAGTTCCTGTTTGCAGGTCGTGGGAAGTGATGCTGTCATAGAAGCAAATGAGAAACAACAAAGATACTGGCACACTGGCAGGCCTCAGGGACACAACAGGGTTCTTGGCAGTGAGGTGGGAAGGGCAAAGAACGAAAGAGCCTCTGAGAGTCAGAAAGCAGCACCCATTGCTACAGAAGCACTTGTGTTCTGCCCATGACACCTTTGGTGGAACTTAAGGAGACACCCACTTTTGATAATGTCATGTCTCCTTATTATTCACACCACAAATAAGGAAGACAACCAAAGAGGACAGACACAGAGCATCCTTTTCAAAGACAGTCATTGTAGTTTTTTCTTCAGTTGTCACACACTCATTTTTGTAAGACTTACTTGCCATTTCCTTTAAAAAATGGAATTTCTTTATTTTTTAATTTTTATTTAAACATTGACTTATACTGTAGTGTGGTGACATAAGGGTTTAATCCACGCCCTTGGGACATAAAGGCATGTCGATCTCTTTGAGTTTCAGGCCAGCCTGGTCTATATAATAGTTCCAGGATAGCTAGAGCTATATAGTGAGACTCTTTCTCAACATCCAGGCCAAACAAACAGGCAAATGAGAAAGCAAACAAACAAGCACAACTCTTTTAAAGATTAAAGGAGTAAGTGGTTTCATTATGATGTTTCTGTACACTCTTTTTATTAGTTTATTATCCTTTCCTGCTCCTGTCTTTGCGCATCTAGTACCTGTCTATTCTCAATGTGTCCCATTCTGCTTCCAAATAACATGTGTCTACTATCCTTCCTAACTCCCTTCCTTAAAATCTCTTCTTTCAAATAGATCCCTTTCTTGGTTCATGGCTTCAACTACACTCATTTTCATATATATATACGCACATGTAATACTAGAAGCTAAGGTCTGTATGACAAAGCACATATGGCATTTGCCTAAGCCTCGTATGGTTCATTTCATTTCCACATATATCCATTTTCCTATAAATTGCATAAGTTGATTTTTCTTTATGGTTGAGTAAAATTCTACTCTCAATATGGACTATATATTCATTATCAACACATCAGTTGATAGACATCTTAGCTGATTCCATTTTTCGGCTAGGGTGACTAGAATGGTGATAAATGTAGACGTACAAGTATCTTTTTAGCCAGATACAGTCATTTGGTTGTATGTCAAGGATTGGATATCTGACCTTATACTTCTGTTTTTAATACTATTGAGAAAAGCTTCAGACTGATTTCTATAATGACTATATTAGCTTATAGTCATATCATGTATAAATAGGATTTCTTTTTATTGATATGCTTCCCACATTTTAAATATTTGTTGACCACATATATCTCTTCTTTTGAAAACTTCCTGATTAGTTTGATGGCCTATTTATTTTTGGAGTTTTTGTTTTTTTTTATTTGTTTGCTTCATTTTTTTGTTGTTGTTTTTTGTTTTTACTTTTTAAACTTTGGAGTTCTTTAATTATTCTAGACATTAGAGTCATATCTTCAGTATAGTTGGCCAAGATTTTTCTCCCATTCTGTAAACTGTTTACTGTGATGACACTTTTCTTTCTGTGCATACTTTTAAAAATTTTAGGTAACTTGAAAAACTTTAATGTAACTTTATTAATTAAATGTTGTTTCCTGTGCTATTAAGTTTGTATTAAGGAAGTTCTTGCCTGTAACTTGAAGGCCATTCCCTGTTTTCTTCTAGAAGCTTCAGTGTTTCAGATTTTAAATACCAACCAACCACAGCTCCCAGGGTCTAAACCACCAGCCTGGGAGCACTTAGTGAGGGATCCATGGCTTCAGCTGTATACTTAAGAGCAGAGGGCCCTGCTGGGCATAGGTGGAAGAAGAGATCCTTGACCTCATGAAGGCTGGACGCCCCAGGGGGTGGGAATTTGAGGGTGGGGAGGTGGGAGTCGGGTAGGTAGGGGTTACATCTGCATAGAAGAAGGAGGAGGGGTAAGGGGATAGGGGGTTCCTGGGTGGGCGGGGGATGGGGTAAGGGGACAACATATGAAATGTAAATAAAACATCCAATAAAAAAAATAAACAGAGATAAGGGAAAAATAAATAAAAGTCTTTCATCATTAACATTGATTTTATGGAATGTGAAAGATATATATTTAAATTGATTCTTCCTGAAAGTAGATATCCAATCTTGTTAGCACTTGGTGTTGAATAGGCTTTTTTTCTGCTTTCATCAAAAATAACATAGCCATGTCTTTGTGTGTGTATTTTTGGATCCTCTATTCTGTTCCATAGGGCTAGATATCTACCTTATTCAAATCAGTGTGAATTTTGTTGTGAACCTGTGAAATGACCAATAAGTCATTTTCAAATATGCCTCAGAGGCTTACTGTTACATTTCCTTGGTTTAATCTTTAAGCTAGAGTTGATAGTCTTTGTTGACAATATAAGCAGTGGTAGCCCACATTTTGGAAAGGCTATATCTAGCACCAATACAGTGACCTGAGTGGTAATTTGTCTCCTGACTGTTTGAAGTAGAAACTCTCGGGCCACTTTATTGGAAGTCACTGTAGTAATATGGTTGGGTGCAACTTGTGTAACAACTGTCTATGAAAATCTAGCTCATATTAGTGGACCAACGAATCACACACAGTTAAAACTCTAGCTGCCTTTGAAATCAGTAGGTTTTGAAGTTACCCAGTATGTAGAAATAGAACATAGTGTTTAAAAATAAAAACAGCTGAAATATGGAGCATTTATTCTGAACATGCAACAACTTAACTATAGGCTAATACATTTAAAATAGTGAACACAGTCACACTCGTAAAAGTTGACATTTATTATATCTTCTTATCATGGTAGTATTTCTATAAGAACATTATCATTTTCAATTAACAAATGAGTTAAATAACTTGGGCATGATCATAAAATTTCTAAAATTTAGAAAGAAGATTTGATTTCTGTAGGCACTTAAAAATACTTTTTAAAAATTATTTTATTTATTTACATTCAAGCTTTTTCTCCCCCACCTCCTGGTACTCCCTCTCACAGTTCCTCACCTCACTCCTCCTCCCCCTTCCCTCTGGGAGGGTGTCCTCCCCACCAACCAGGCCTTATCTGTCCCTGGGGCCTCAAGTCTCTCCAGGATTAGCACATCTTCTCCCACTGAGGACAGACCAGGCAGTTCTATCTATGTGCAAGGGAGATGGGGGCTGGGCTCAGACCAACCTATGTATGTGGCCTGGTTGCTGGCTCAGTGTCTGGAATCTCCCTGGAGTTCAGGTTAGTTGAGACTTCTGGTCTTTCTATGGAGTCACACTCCCCTTCAGCTTCTTCAATCCTTCCCTTAATTCAACCATAGGGGTTACTGACTTCAGTCCATTGCTTGGATGTAGGTATCTGCATTCTCATTGGGTATAGGTGAATGCTATCTCATTCAGCTGCTGGTAGAGTCACTCTGGGGATGGCCATGCTAGGCTCCTGTCTTCAGTTTCTTCTCCATTTTTGTACCTGCAATTCTTTTATATAAGAACAATGCTGGGTCAGAAATTTTGACTGTGAGTTAATAACTCCGTCCCTCTACTTGAGGCCCTGTCCATGTACTGAAGGTGAACTCTTAAAGTTCCCTCTCCGCAATGTTGAGTATTTTGGTTAAGGTTACTCCCATTAAGTCTTAACAGTCTCTCACCTCCTGGGTCTCTGGCACTTTCTAGAGGATCGCCTCCCCCCCAAAAGCTGCATATTTCCATTCATTTTCCTGGCCTTCTTAGCTTCTCACCTGTCCTATCCACACCCTCCAAACCCTGATCTTGGTCCCCCTTTCCTTCCATCACTTCCCTCTCCCACTCAGATCCCTCCCTCGATCTCCCATGATTATTTTCTTCTCCCCAAAGGCCTTATAAAATCTAGGCCTTATATATGATATAAAAGGCCTTATATAAATCTAGTTTATCTTTATAAACTAGTCTTAAGTGTTTGGAACTAATATGTCTCTTCGAGTGGGCAAATCAGTCTTTATAAGATTCCTTTATAATAAAAAGAAAGCTCAAATGAGGCCATGAAGAGATAAGAGTTGAGGACAGTATCTTCTCTCAGATTACAAGGGCCCTGTCTAAACAGTCCTGCCTCTTGCATAAAGTAACAACAGCATTTTTACACGTTTATTTGTATATTATTCTTCTTTTATTTTCCAATTTCAATGTCTTTTTTTTTTTCGAGACAGGGTTTCTCTGTGTAGCCCTGGCTGTCCTGGAACTCTGTAAACCAGGCTAGCCTCGAACTCTCGAACTCATAGATCCGCCTGCCTCTGCATCCCAAGTGCTGGGATTAAAGGCGTGCGCCATCACTGCCCGGCTCTCAATGTCTTATTTTAAATTTTAGCCTGTATGTAAAAATTATAAATCTTATTTCCTATTAAAGTTCCAGCTTCTGTATGATTTTTATTTTGGGGGGGTCCTTGCTTTCTCTTTTGTTTGGCTGGATCTCATGATCCTGTAGACCAGGTTCCTCCTCTGCTGCTACACAGGAGTCCTCCCTTGTCTGACAGAAAGGAATATTTGCCAATAGCATTAATAACATTGAGGACGATGTAATTTATGTTTGCTTAAATGTGATTTCGTTGTTACTTGGCGCCCATCTATCTCTTTTATACTTTCATTTTATATTTCTCTTTGTGCTTGTGCTTCTTCTTTAAGCTCTACTCCATTGTCTCTTGTGTCTATAAAACACTATTTAATTAATCATAATGATGTATCTGTGAAGAGAGGGGAGGAATTCCACATTGGTATGTATTTTTAGTAAAGTAAATATTATCATACAATAAAATATAAATGAAGTTGACAGGGGATATTTACTTCTGAGACTAAAGTTTATGTTTTAGAAAAAAGGTGGAACACATTTTTGGGAAAAAAGGGTCTTTGCAAAATTTAGGTTTTGTAAGCCGTAATAGCAAGTCTTCTGTTAGCAAGTAAGTGTTAGATAATACTTATAATTGAAACAATTAGGGACATTGGATGAAACGGATATTACAGTTGTGCTGAAATGGAATAAGGTCATACCATATGTAAGGGCCAGTCTATAAACATAGGCAGACGTTATGACATTCATGACAAATCACCTAACCTTCACCACTTCATACACCAAGCAGTTTTACAGTATTCTTATTTAAATTCATATGCAACATCTTCTATCCCTTGTACATGAAAAATCAAAAGAAAAGTGGATATAGCATATCTGCATGTAAACAGTGCTGACCTCTCTAAGGGTGACAATATATGAGTGGCTTTCTTCAAAGATGAACAGGCAACGTTCATACTTTTATCATTTACTGCTTCAAAAATGTAAATGATAAAATAACTTTAAATAGATTAGAAAAGAGCTATCCCATACTAGTCTAGAGCATTAATAACCAAGACAGGTAATTGGTTTTAGTTTATTGCCTGTACTGATTAGGCAAAATTATATTGAAATACTCTGTTGTAGTTTATTTACTTAAGATACACTTTTCTCTTTATTTGGTAGAAGATCCTTATAAGTAGGCACTGAATGTTTCTTTACTATAATGTATAGGATAGTCTCACATTTAATAACTAACACAAGAATGTACACAAAGTAAGTAATAAATAAATGGAAGAGATGGCTGAAGACAGATTTTCAAGGTGAGTTTGAAATACATACACACACATATGTATTTCATATATACAAATTATATATATATATGCATATATATGAAAACAATAGATGTATGAGAAAAGATCTTGAATTAAAGTGCATTTTTCAAAGAATTTAACTAAAGAAAATGTGTTTGAAACTGATACACATACTAATTCATTCACTTTTGAAATTTTTGAACTCTTAATGATCAAGATCAATCATATATTATTGTCTTAGAAAGAGAGTCTCTCATAAAATGAGCAAGAAATGGTATTGAAGTATTGGTTATATTTCTCATTATTAAATATTTCATTTCAACGTTCTATTTCCTAGGTATATACAGAGTATTGGGATCGGATCCAGGATCCATAAGAATTTCTCACCTTGAATCTAGGATTTATATGATATTCTTCTCAGATTTACTTGGTTTTAAATAACATTTAAAATATATATTTGCCTCAAGGGTGTCTTTAAGAAGAGTAATTTCCAATGCCTAAGAATAGCAAAGTGGTAAAGAGAGATTTGGATGATGATGTCATTGAATCTGTCAAAGACCTTCTGTCCAATGAAGATTCAGTGGAAGATGTTTCTAAGAAGAGCGAACTAATCGTTGATGTTCAAGAAGAGAAAGATACAGATGCAGAAGATGGATCTGAAGTTGATGATGAAAGGCCAGCTTGGAACAGTAAGCTGCAATACATTTTGGCACAAGTTGGATTTTCTGTAGGTCTGGGGAATGTATGGCGATTCCCATACCTCTGCCAAAAGAATGGTGGTGGTAAGTTGCATTCGTTTGCTTTAATGATGAATAGCTACACTAGTAAACTGCAATCCGTTATTTCAGGTAGCCCCCATTGTTGCTGTAGTCTCATTAGTTCTGAAATTGTGAATTCCATTACAAAGCTAAGGAGACGCATTTGTGGGAAGTCAGCCCAGCACTGGGTTCAGATGAAGTTTCCATAGGAACATATTGGCATCCTACAAATACTCAGGGATTGCTTAAGGTAACACATTCTCAAACTTATTCCCTGGATACTGTAAACAATGCTGAAGTACTGACAGGGAGGTTTTTTTTTTAATATGTGTTATGTTCTTTATGCATGCCAGACTTTTGCTTTCAATAAGAATCTAAAGCCAACAACACTGATAGAACATGGTTGTTCTCTCCATGAATTATAAACTCCGAATTTTAAGTTGTCTCCTTCTTTACTAGAAGCAAAACTAACATATAATTTAGAATGATTATGGTCTTTAAATTGGACCTAGCACTTTCAGAACTCATGAGAAGGAGTTTAACCAAATAATTACCATAATGCCAGTCATTCTTTGCCCTTAGAGATTTTACACATTGATTCTGATTCTGTAAACCAGCTTCAACAGATACTTTAAAAAACAGAACACTCTTAATTTTAAACAAAAACTAGTTCCACTATTATCAACACTTTATAATGCAAAGGTGGGCATATAATTATCAATACTTTGGAAAGAAAAACTACTGTCCTAAGAATCCATTGGAGAAAAAATGTCAACACAAAGGAGAAAATCCTAGTAGTTCTTTAGTACAACCCCCTAAAGAAACCAAAAACCAAAAACCAAAGCCAACCAATCAACCAACCAATATCTTTGAAGAAACTCTAGATGTGTGTAGAGTGAAATGATTTTCTACCACATATAAAATCATAGATTGAATTCCCAGCCCAATGGAGGAAAAAGGAAGAGATACAAATTGTTTTTAAAATTTTATAATATATGTATATGAAGTCTGTATGCATAAAGTAAATATGGATAAGTATATATTTTGGCCTATGAAGATGGCTCAGTAGAAAAAGTATATGGTATGCAGGCTTGAGGACCTGAGTTTTGATTCCCAGCACCCACATGAAAGCCATGCTTAGTGACATGCATCTGTAACTCTACTGCTCATGCCAGGGAGTCCTGTGAATACCTGGGGTTTGCTAGCTACCCAGTCAAACCAAAACAGTAAGTGCTAGTCCCAGTGAGAGATCTTCCCCCTCCAAAAAAAATAGCTGGATATTGATAGACAAAGATGCTTGAAATCTAGTCTCTATGTGCTTATTGCCATGCCCACACATGAACAAACCCAAACCTGCATATTCTGGTAAGGTACACGTTTCATCATCAAGTCTTAGAATTATGTTGATATTCTATTGGGTCTGTGATAGCTTGGTTGGCTGAAACCATATATGGTTTTATTTGACTATAGCTATAATCCACATACATCATGTCAAATGAACAGGGCTACACATGTACTCATTTTCATAGTTGTTGTGATTAATGTGTGTTTAAAATGGTTGGGTAATTTCACCCAGAACACAGGGAGAGGTTTGGGAAAGCAATCGATTTAACAGATCTACCTGCCTGAGAGCTAAGAATTTAATTTTATGTGATGTATGCCACATACCACTCATTGCTCAGGAAACAGTAATTCTCTACCAAACTGATAATATCACGTGGGAATTATTTACGGTGTCAAAGATTAACATCTGTGTACGACTGGTATTTTTTTCAAATGTTTGGTTGCTTCCTAGGTTTTTGTTAATTTCTTAATGTTCATTTCATTTGCTAAAACTGGCAGAAGTGAATTCTGATTTTGAGGCATTTCTCTTTCTACACCTTACTAGATGTTCTGCTAAGAATGAAAGCAGTTTAAGCTTACAGTCAGGTTTCATTCCTTTTAGCATAACATCCACCTTGATGGAGAGTGATTACAGAGTTGACATATTAGTTATTAGCAAGACAAATCCCTCTAGTTTCTCAATAAAAATATGAATCAAGATATTTTCACTATTGTTTATTTCTTGCCTCCAAAGGATAATGGAGAGCAATGTTGTATGTCTCGTGAGACATAGGCTGGATTGGAAAGGGACAAAGGGTGTGGAGCATAGTGTTCCAGAAACCAGAGGAGTTTCTTTAAAAAGCACAAAACAACCATGAATCATTTGAAGCATTTTCTGAATAAGAGGGAAAAAAAAAGAAAGAGGTCTACTATATATGTTGATTTATGTAGATGTTACATTTACTGCACAGGACTAAGCTTAATAAGTCAGGATACAGAGGTTTCTTCTTATTTTGCCGTCACTCTGACACATACACCTGGCTCTTGCCCATGTTTCAAGCCATGCGAACTTTCTGAACGTTGCTCACCTCTTCAGGCTCAATTCCTATGCATGCAAAATGGGATTAGCAATTGTAACACACTACTGTATTTGTGTGTGTACATGTATGTGTCTGTGTGTGTGTGTTTGTGTGTGCATCTGTGTGTATGTGCTCTGCAGTCCACAAGGCATTTGTGCAGGTGCATGTTCCTGTACACCTAGGAAAAGTAGAATAGAACATTCATTCCATCTTCCTCCTCTGTGACAAGGTGTATTTATCCGTGAACCCAGGGGTAGGTTGCCAACTTAGAAATTTGAATATATGAAGTCCAGTGTGTAGGTCACATTAATTTGTAATGTACAAATGTATGTACATCTCTTTATCTCACCAGTTAAATAAAAGAAAGAATGACATTGTCAAACTATTCAATCGATTTGCAAATCATTAGTTATAATTTACACGCGATTTTGATTAAAAAAATCATTGTTTCTTTTAACTATGGGTGTTTTGCTACAAATATAACAACACACACACTTTTTTAAACTAATCATTTTATCCATTTACATTTCAAATGATCTCCCTCTTCCCAGTTACCCCTCTACAAACTCCACACCGTATCCCTCCTCTTTTCCCTATGTTTTCTCTCCAAGAGGGTGCTCCCCCCTCCACCCACCTACTACCTCCCCTCCACCCTACCATTCCCCTACACTGGGACATCAAGCTTTCACAGGACCAAGGGCCTCCCCTCCCACTGATGCCTGACAAGGGACTGGAGTCATGGGTCCCTCCATGGATTCTCTTTGGTTGGTGGTTTAGTCTCTAGGAGCTTTGGGTGGTTCAGTTAGGTGATAATGTTGTTCTTCATATGTGGTTGCAAACTCCTTCAGCTCCTTCAGTCCTTCCCCTAGCTCTTCTTCCATTGTGGTTCCCAGGCTGAGTCCAATGGTTGGCTGCAGCACATACACTTTAATGACAGACACAAAGTATATTAGTTTTACTTCCTAAAGGCTCTATGCATACTTTCTCCCAGTTTAAGAAACAGATTATGATTTCTGAGGTAAATTTTTTATGTGTGGTATATATGAAAACAAATATTGCATTTGTTAAAAATTATTATTATTATTATTTATTTTTATTTTTCTGTCTTTCAGACTAGGCATTTGTTTTTCTTTGGTATTACTTTATTTAGAATATAAAAAATTTAATTCTGTCAAATGCCATTGGTCCCAATCTATACTTTTGGAATGCAGGACTATAAGAGTTTAGGTTAGTATTTAGTAAATAACTCTGTAAACACTGTAAGATGATGGATTTGTACACAATCCAGGAACCACAATTTAAACATTTTAAACTTTGCTATTATTTTGTATGTGTGTGTTTGTGTGTGATGCATGTGTGTATTAGGGGAATATGCAGAGGAGATTTCAGGACTCAGTTTTCTCCTTCCACTGTGGGTTCAAGGACCGAAACTCAGATCATAAGACCATGGAGCATGAGGTTTACCCACTGAGTCACCTAACTGCCCTGAGGGATTTCCTAGAGCAGTTAGTTATATACAGGATTCAAAATTTTGAATGTTTAAGGAAGGTCAGTTATGTTTTTCTTAAAGATTTCTACTTTTTATATCATAAAAAGCCTTCAAATAGTGTCTTTATGAAATGATTTCTGTCAATGTATACTCTACTATGACAATTGAAAATATGCCCCATTCTGTTTGATCTTGTCTCTTTAGGTGCATATCTTTTGCCATATTTAATACTTCTTCTAGTGATAGGAATTCCACTCTTTTTCCTGGAACTTTCTGTGGGTCAAAGAATTCGGAGAGGCAGCATCGGGGTTTGGAATTACATAAGCCCTAAACTGGGTGGGATTGGATTTGCAAGCTGTGTGGTAAGTTTCTTTCTGTGACATTTGCTCTTACCTGGGCTGGTTCAGATTGATGAAATCTTCATCTCTGTAAACTCTGGGTCATTGTCTGTGCAATCATGTTTTAGAAGCTACTGGGACATAGAACACTTACTAAATAAAACTATCTATGACTCTGAATAATACCTGGATTTCATAACGTGTTTTAAAAGTTCAACTCAGGAATATTGTTTTAAAGAAAAGATCATGTCTTTGAGAAACAACAACAACAAAAAATAAGATGAAGACTTAAAAATTGTTAGGCGGAGTGAATTCCACCTCACAGCATTAAGAGGAGTGACAAAGGATGCATGATGTAATCACATCCTTCTCTTTTGCAGGTGTGCTATTTTGTGGCTCTCTACTACAATGTCATCATTGGCTGGACATTGTTTTACTTTTCTCAGTCTTTTCAACAACCTCTTCCTTGGGATCAATGCCCTCTGGTGAAAAACGCATCTCATACTTGTAAGACATATGTTATATTGTCTCCTTATATTTAACGTTCTAAAGATCAGTAAAGTCAAAAACTTTTCTTTTTTGCTTTTTAAATTCCATGGTGGGTGGAACATCATAATAGGCTTTCTTGTGCATTTGGAATGACCACTTCAGATAGATAAAGTAGACATCATTTAATTTTACTGACTCTTTTCAGATTAATTTAATGCACTTAAGGCTTTAGGGCTTTAGGTTAAACGATTTTGCAAGCTTTCTGTTGTAAACCCTGAATACCCTGGGTAAGCCTCATATTTATTAAAATCTACAAAAGGGAAACAAAACCCTGACTGAACTGAGTTTATCGTTTTTAATGCAGTTGGCGCTACTGTTTTGTAGTTTTCACCTTTTAAATCTTAAAAAGAACCATTTCCTATAGAATGCACGTCACTTCTGAAATTAAAATTTTTTCTTTGAGTCATACTGAAAAACGTAAAATGTAGCACATGAAACATTTTATCTAATCCAGTATATAGGAAAGACTAGCATTTGAACTTGCAATGTACGCAAGTGTTGCTTTGTTGGCATCAGGGTTTACATTCGTTTTCATGCAGCAATTCTGACAAGGCTGTTTGAATTTTACACTGCTGCGTATGTCCCTTCATTCTAGACTTTCAACAAAATCCCTTTCACCAGCAGCTACTGCACTGGACTGTGTAGTGCTAGTGTGTCTGATAATTATGGTTCTGGTAGTGGAAACTGGAATTATTTGTTTTAACTATTTCTCTAAGAAGTTCACATATGAGGGTGTGTTCCAAACAACCTCCCAGTCCCAAATGTGTGAATGAATATAAATTACAATTTGAAAAAATAAATAAATTATATATATATATATATATATATATATATATATATGTATAAAGTTCACATATATTTTAGGAATTCTTAATACATATCAAAGAGGATACCCTGTTTGCTGATTTTACAAAGTTTGCAAATTTTAGCTGCGCATTGCAAACAGGATTGCTGGTGTGAGGTTAATGTTTTCCTAGGAAACAGGAAGAACTGTTGAGGTTTGGTCTGGTGCTATGTATCTTCATGCTTAATTCTATATCTGAAGGCCTGGGCCTACAAGTGACTTCTCACACTTAACCAGCTTTTGTTGTGTAAACCTTCTTCCTTGCTTCAAAAGTATTGGTTAAGCCAGCAGGGCAGTGGTGACGTACACTTTTAATCCCAGCACTTGGGAGGCAGAGGCAGGGAGATTTCTGAGTTTGAGGCCAGCCTGGTCTACAAAGTGAGTTCCAGGACAGCCAGGGCTACATAGAAAAACCGTGTCTTGAAAAACTTAACCAAAACAACCAACCAAACAAAAAAAACCTATTTGTTAAATAAAATTGGCTACAGCCAGTTGCTGGAGGGTTTAAAGGTAAGTGGGTCTGGAATGACCTCCTTGGGTTGGGGAGAGATGAAGGGAGAGAGGAGGAAGCTGCCATGAGGGGAGATGAACTATAAGCGCATGGTCAGGAGAAACAGAAAGTATCTGGGGTACCTGCTGGGAAGGTAGCCAGGCCAGCAGTTAGAAGAGTAGATTAGGGATTGCTCCAGGTAATTGCCAAAGCCAAATAAAATAACCATAGTCTGAGTCTCATTTGTTTGCAAGCTTAAATTAGTTGTAGTCCAAATAACTTGCTTAACACAACTTAGTATTCGTTTGAATGATAGCATTTTGTCTTTTTTTCCCCTCACAGATATTGAGCCAGAATGTGAAAAAAGTTCCGCCACCACCTATTACTGGTACCGGGAAGCACTGGATATCAGCAGTTCCATCTCTGAAAGTGGAGGCTTAAACTGGAAGATGACTGTCTGCCTGCTGGCTGCCTGGGTCATGGTTTGTCTGGCCATGATCAAAGGCATTCAATCCTCTGGAAAAGTTAGTATGTTAGAATCTCTCCTCATTCTGCTAAACACCACTTATGGGTACTGTCAATCCCTTTCAGCTACATCAACAAATTCAACTGACAAATTGTTTGAGTACTTTGTCTAGGTATCTACAGATTGGCCAAAAGTGGTGCTTCAAATAATGTGTCTAAAAAGGATATAAATAACAATTAAAGTGACATTTACTATCATTTATAATACTTTTTATTCCAGCATTTGAACATCTGTTTATTTTGCTACTTATTCATTATCTGCTGCTTTAATTCTCTGAGTATATGTCAGCCCAATCATGGAAACTGATAGAGTGAAGAAGTTGCTTTTTAATGTTTGTTCATTTTTTTAATCGTTTCCTTTTTTAGAGTACTGTTTTAACAAGTAATTGCTCAGTGAATATTCACCTTATGAACAGTTGTGTGTTTCTTAAAGTTCTTGTTGCCCTCAAGTAGTTAGAATAATTCAAATTAGCAACACAGAATAAATAAAAGGTGAAAAGGGCATTCCTTCCAGTCCAAATACAAATTTAAAAATATTGTAGTTGAAAAGGACATCAGTGGAAGCGTGAAGTCTATATGGTTTTCTCCTTTCGTTTTAGAATGATGTGCCAGGGACCTGATTGTTGTCCATTCTTTTGCTTCCAAAAGCATCAGAGTCTTATTCTTATAACTGCCTCTGTTTTAAAGCCCCTTTTATGTCTCAGCTGCCTCATAGCAAGAATTCAGTGTTGGCTCTTCTCACTGGCACCTGACAGTGTGTGTGTGTGTGTGTGTATGTGTGTGTATACATACATACACATATAAAATAAATTTTCTTTTCAAAGTGTAGCTATAATCATCCATCTTTTCAGTCTAACTAGGTATCATAGGGTAGCAGCAGTTAGCGGAGTGACAGTTGGATGGACTACTCGATTATTATCAATGACAAGAATAGGTAATAACAATAAAGCATGTGAAATAATAATAAATAATAAAAATACAATAATAAAAAATTGACATCAGCACAGGTGATTTGAGCAAAACCAGTATTACGCACTGATGCTTACTTAGTACATGTTTTTTTTTGTTGTTGTTGTTCTGGGAATTGTAATGCTTTCTATTTTACATAATCCTAAAAGCTCTAAGAAGCAGTCATTACTTCCAGAACCACTTCACTGATTTTTAAAAACAGGCTGGAGAAATTGGATGATATACTTAAAGTTCATGAGAAATCAGTTTGAAGACTCAAATAGGTACACAAATATAGAGAGGAGAAGAGAAGGGAGAGAGAGAGGAGCGAGCGAGAGAGAGAGAGACAGAGAGAGAGAGAGAGAGGGAGAGAGACAGAGAGAGACAGAGAGAGACAGAGAGACAGGGACAGAGAGAGAGAGAAGGAGGGAGGGGGAGGGAGGAGAGAAGAGAGAGATTACTTCTTCGGTAATATCCTTTATCTTTCTTTTTTTTTATTCTGTTTTTTCTTTGACGGGTCTTTCTATACAGCCTAGCTTTTCTTGAACTAGGATCTTCCCACCCACAATGTGGTAGTAAAATAGCATCGTGTCTTGCTGTCTCCTGTCTTTAATCGAAGAGGCTGTGGATGGGACACTCTATGCTGCTTCTTAGTGTGATATTTATGCCCACTAAATGGTAGCTTGGGAATGGGAATGAAAATGGGCAGAAGTTGGTCTAATTCACATTTGCCTCCTGTTAATTTAATTTTAGTAAGAAATGTTGATGCCATTTTAGCCTGTAAATCACAGTTGACATGTTCTTGGCGCCCCCCCTCTCTTCCTGCTGTGGCTGCTATGTTATTTTGTATGGCAGTGGGTGAGCATATCATATAACCCAACTAAGTGTTTTAAAATCTTTTGTTAAGTGTTAACGACTTAGTAATTTTAGACAGTGCTTTGATTGAGTGTACCTATGTAGGAGTCACTGAAGTGAGATTATAAGTAAAGGAATAAGCTCTTAAGTCACATCTAGTCACATGCACATAGTTGCTATGTAGGCCACTTCTGGACAGGCATAGACATCGAAAAGCTGTCATGATCAAGTTTGCTAACATTTCCTGAGTTTGAGTTCTATTATAACTTAAAGAATAATTTCATTTTTTAAAATGTATATATATTAGTTTCCACTATGCTATGTTTACCAGTTACGATTGTATACATGTATGAAGTACAAAGTCTATGCTGGAGTTGTGGAGGAGAATGTATGATAATTCAAACTAATTGACATCTGTGTCATATCAAATATTTAAGTTTTATATTGAGACTCTTTGAAATTTCCTCTCAGTTATATTGGTGGTACTTTCCTGTTTTGTCTTTGGTATCATGTAATACAAATTTATCAGTAGAATGAGGTACAACTTATTTAGTACATGTGATTTACTATTTCAGTGACAGGCCCTTAGGGAGAGAGTGACATTGAGACAGAATTTGAAACAAAGCCATGTTGTATTGTACAGGATGCTCTAATAAAATTCAGGGTCTCTTCCACTGAACCGCTTATACTTATCCTGAAATGATTTCGCAGTCCAGATGGGCCGAAAGCTCATTGTAATAAATGTTTTAATAGATGGACTCCTTTAGTGTGGAATAATAAGAGGAACATTATAAAGGATGAATGTAAAGCTCAGCATGTGCATTAAACAATTTATGCAAGAGTTGGGTAAAGAAGAGTGCTGGAGGCTGGCTTGTGTAAATTGTCCTAAAGGAGTCCTTGCCAAAAGATGAGAATTTGGCATATAGTTTCTTAGATATGCAAATACACACAGGGAGTTGGGGGAGGGATGCTAACTGAAACCAGAGTGACAGAAGCAGAAGATTGATAGACTCTCTGGCCAGGTAAGCAAGGCCCATATGCCAACTACATCACTGACTTCTGAGAGCTTTTCTTTTCCTGTCTTTATGATAGAGAAGATGAATTGTTGGTCTGTGATCACAGTCAACAGCCAATCAAATAAAAAGGAAGCAGCATAGTCACAAAGAACAGGACCATGACCAAACATCAGGATATAGAGGGAAAAAGAGTGATGATAAACCCTCAAATAAAGAAAATTCTTTATGTTTCATGATGCTTGGTGTCAATGAAATTGCTTGCCTCAACAGTAGACAGCTCAACATTATTGTGATTGGCTTAAAATTAAACTGAGGAGCATATCTCATTTTACTGATCTGAGAATATGTACTTCTTAGGCTATACAAGGCTCACAGACACTTCCATTTACCTAGTTATTTTACCAAAGTATTGTATCATTGGCTATGTATGCCCTTGTTATGTTCTATTGAATTCCTGCCTCCAGATTAGAAAACTGAAACAAAATGCTCTCAACTTGCTCCAGCTCCAGAGTGCTGTTCCTTGTTAGCATTTCTTTATCATTAATGTATTACTCTGTTAAATAAGTTGGATATGTTGTTTTCTTTATTCTGTCAAATGGCTTACATGTTTTATTTCTAATTCACAACAAAGTTGATAAATCTCAAAGGAGTAAGTTAACTGTCCAGAACTAAGTACCTAATAAATGACAGAACTAAAGCCAGGTAACCAAGTCTTCAAAAGTAAGATTTTTTTCCCAATATGTATTTATAATAAACATTTTAATATAAAGAGAATATTAATTGAGATTTTTATATATTTTCCAATTTCAGTAGTATAACAATGGAAATATACTATATAATACTTTGCTTGATAAACTAATCTTTCATTTAGGGTAATTTCTGTGAAAAATATTTTGGTTGACAACTCTTAAGAGGCTTAAAATTAGTAAAGGAACATATTTCACTTCTCTATTCTGAGAATACACTCTTAGACTGTACAAGGCTTATGGACACTATCTATTTATTTAGCACAAGTATTGAATACTTGCTGTTTACTAGAAACTGTTTTAATTCTAGAAATACAAGAAGCAACAAAGCCTGGACTTATAAAGTTTCTATTCTAGTGACAGACGCAAACCACATATTTGCAGAAATATGTACAAGTAGCAGTGTAAAACACCAATGTATAAATAGCAGTGTCAAACACCAATGTATAAATGCAAGAGATTTAGGTAGCAATATACAATAAAGCAATTTCATATATCATTGTACATATGTCTGTGGTATATGCGGCTGACTTAATTATTAACAATTCCATAAAAGATTTTGTTATAAAATATAGCTATTTGTGTAAATGTAAATTTGTCTTTAAGAAAACTGTGGATACTTTGCATAGTGCTTAGTTAAGAAACATTCTTTTAACTCTTAGAATTTTAAATTAAGTATATGAACCTTTATCTGCTTAGAGAATAGTACAGCCAATGGTTTGGCATACTTAATAGTAATTACCTGTTTGAAATCTTGACAGTTTTCACATTTTAATTTGAAATATTTTTCATTTTTCCTTAAGAACACACCAAATTCAGATTTGTGTGTTTAAACACAAATGTGTATTAGACCAGTATAAAATGGAGATAATTAGGACCAGATATTCAAAATGTAATCTTAAAATATTATACAATAAAGATATTGTATTTTAGAGAATGTATATACAAAAGAAACCTTACATTTTCTATAAAAAGTTTCTCTTTTATCTATAGTATTTTGTGTACAGTATTTATTTAATGTACTCTATTTTTTAATGAGCTACTATACACTGTGCACTAATGAATATTGATATTAATCGAGTAGTCTCTGTCTTCATAAAACCCATGGTGTAAGGAGCCTGGCAGATAATTGCTGTATTAAGTATAATAATGGAGAAAAAGAGAATGCGCATGAGGCAGTTATTGAAATGATCCTGAAGTTTGGGAGGTTTCACAAAGTGGGTAATCGGGGTGCATTGCTAAGATTGTCGGAGGAAAGTTACCGGAAGGTTCAGAGACAGGTCTCTGTAGGCACAGAATCCTGCATGCGTCAAGCCCAGAGGATGTTACATGCTCTCCTGTGACTCTGACACACAGTTTGAGGAGAGGGAGGGAGATAACGTAAGAATTGTGACCTGATTGCTGATGGACATTGAAGAGTCTGCAGAAACTGGTCAAAACATGGGCTGTTATATATAGTGAGTACTGTAAAGATCTGAAGAATTTTAACAATTCAGCAGACAAGTTTAATATCAGACTTCTAGAAACCTCCATACCAAAGAGGCATAGATGTTGGATCTCTGAGATGCAGAGGAGAGCTGATGGGAAGAGTCTGGAGGAAAGATGAGCAGGAAATACATTGAGAACCAGGAAAGTCTTTCAAGTCAGTTAGGAAGCAGCAAATTGTGTTTGATTTAAAAATGTGCAGACAAGATTTCATGCTTTTGGTAGCCTTAAAATGATTGAGAGGTACGATCGAACGAGACCCAGGGGCCTCGCAGATTGAAAGAATGTTAGTCATCAAGAGAGAAACGGAAGAGTAACCCCTAGTTCTGAATGCACCCCTACCAAGGAAAAACTAAGAAATAAGATCATATTGTCAAAGTAGAGGACAATCTAAGATTAATCAAAGATTACTGGAAAGATGTCTGTTTTTACTAATGAAAATAGATTTATTCTATTAAAATATTGATTTTAAAATGTTAGCTTTCTTACACATAAAACAAACTTGTTCTTGATATCTTCACTATATTTAAGTATGACTTTCAGAGGATAAACGACAGAGAAAGTACCCACAAGCATCTTGTTTTATATGGCAAGTTACTTGATTCACACAGTCCCTACTACAAGGCCTCCCCTGCTTTGAGAGTTTCCCTTTATTCCCCCAACTTCCCTTCCTTTCCTCTTTATACACATCCATATTGTGTAGCTATTCTGTGTCTGCAAGTGTTTTAGGAGTTCGAGATCTGGTAGTGACCCAGAAAGACATGGCCTCCATTCTCACAGAGCTTATTGGTGGCCCGAGCGTGAGAAAACTCAAATAAGGTAACTTTGGCAGGGCTACGTAACACCACCAACAAAACTGCACCTAATGGTGATATCTCCAAGGTGAGATCACCTCTACTTTGGCAGAAGTGACAGCAGATGGTGGATTCAGTTTGGAAAAAGAAGTCTCAAGGTGCAAAGGATGACTTCTGGGAGAAGATGGTTCTGTGACTACTGAAGAGAAGCAGGCAGTAAGCTGGTCCTGCTGAGCCTACCAGGTGGCAAGAGCTTGAGGGCCTGGGCTCTGCAGCAAGAAAGCATATCAGGTTAAAGCTTTGCAGAGGCGAGGGAGCAATTAGCAATTTGTTCAATGCTATTAGAAACACTTAGGTTGCATTTAGCAGAAAACAACACAGCCGGGATGCTGATCTGGAAACCGTGAACATATTGCAGATTGCCTTGGAAATCTATGCCTCTTTGACTTCAGCAACTGGGTGTCTAGGGCCATTTTCTGAAATGGAGGGGCCATAGCTTGGAGGGAAATTTCAGAAGGTCGCTTTTCCAGTGGGGATGTTTTAGACGTATTAGACCCCCACGCGGATATTTCAAGAAGATAGTTAATGCCTGGGTAAAATGTTTCCTTTGGGTGATAGCAATTTGCTGAGTTCCTCAGAGGCAAACATTGCAGAAATAAATGGTTAAAGGATTTACAGTGAATGTGATGCATCCAAATTACTCAGTACATCGGGAGCTTTACGAATTCGCCATGAAACATAGCTCAAAATGTGTGTGAAACATTGACCAGGACCTGTTAGGAAATTCATGACATTTCTTTCCTAAATATTGCTTTTAAATATTCATTACGCACAGCAGCACCATTCATCCTACACTATATTTCTGCACTAACTGAAGGAAAAGTAAGTCAGTGTTTCTCTGTGCGGGCACATAATGAAATACTATTTAGCCATTAAGTAGAATTCAATACTGCTATTTGAAGCAGCATAGATTAGATATAAAATATATTTTATATATTTTTAAAAATTCTGCGTGTGTGTGCACACGCGCGCACACACACACACACACACACACACACACACATGCACGCAATGCCTATTATCCGTCTACTAAATGGGGTGAAGTCCTGTCATTTACAGAAATATATATCGAGCATAACTTAGGTGGAGTAGACCACAAAGAGAAAGATAAACTCTAAGTGCTCTGTCCGGATGCTAATGAAGTATATTACAGAAAAGTAAAGGGCAGACTCGTGTTTATTCTAGAGGTGGGGGAGGGAAAGAAGGATTAAAATCTTTTGGACAACGGCTCCCAAAAGTCAAAAGGAAGAACACACTCTAGCATTCTGCCCCACACTGGGGTGGATCTTATTTAGAACATTTTACTGCTTATCCTAAAATAATTATAAGAGAAGAACTTAGAGGTTCACACCAAATTGTTAATTGCCTTAAAATTGTTGTTTTATACATGTATTGAATTGTGCTGCCCCCCATAAATACATATAATATGAACCAGTCTAAACAATGACTTCTGTCTCTAATATTTTAAAGAAGGCTGAATCCAGAACAGTCTCCTTAAAAAGTGACTTTAGGAGTTGTTATCACTAGTGTTAAACAGTGGCTCTCAAGAGTGTAGTTTTAACTATTAAGAATGGTGACTAGTGTGTCTAACCAATTGCCATATCTCTTTGTTTGCAGATCATGTATTTTAGTTCTCTGTTCCCCTATGTGGTACTTATTTGTTTCCTAATAAGATCTCTCCTTTTAAATGGTTCAGTTGATGGCATCCGACACATGTTCACCCCTAAGGTATGTATGTATATCTTGTTTTCCAGTGCATTTATTGTAAAGATATCCCCATAGCTATGCTTAAGGGCCAATTGTTTCAACATCAACATATTTAGATTTCTAAACTACAGTTTGTTAACAATTCCAGAAAGATGGCCTTTCTGTATTTCCAGTTGGCTCCACTTTTAATTTTTAAAACCTACCATTCTGGTTAATGAGTAAGATTGTCATTATTTACATGTGAAAATTCATTCTCTTTACAAAATAGCTTATGGTTTTTACATGGATAAATTTGGGAAATTTCGATCTACATTTACCCATCACCCTCTAGTTGAAGGGTTCATATCCAACTTGAGGAACTAACTGGTCATTTGCAACATCAACAACAGTATCTTGCTGCTAGAAGAACTAATAAAAATATTAAACTCCTGAGTGTCTTTTCCCCAGAATATTGTCTCATAGAGAAGTAGTGTTTTCTGGGGAATGTTTTAGCCCCCTGGAGTCTTAGTTATAATGGTACGCTTTGGAATCTTTATACACACACACACACATACACACACACACACACACACACACACACACATTTCAGGAAAATTTTCGTTAGATTCATAGAGAGTGTGAAATTCTTACCACTATTCTACGAAGTAGGTCTAAGCTTATTACTGTGTATCTTGACCCTGGTTACTCATAAAGAACTTGTAGACTTAATCATGCCTTGTTATTTTTAACGGAACAGAAAACAGAAATAGGTTTGGGAGTGTATGTGTTTTTTGTGATTCACCAAATTAAGGTATCAGCTCACCATTAACTCGTTAACACTCTGGTAAGGAAGTCATAAGATGCAGTAAAACAGTTGAGACACTGGAGGTTATGTAAAGGCTGAATGTGGAGCTGGGGTGGTCCAGGAAGCAGGGAAGCAGAAGGGATTAGCTTCTGTGGAATTCTTTGTCAGCTGCCTTGTTAGGAGGTAAAAGAAGCTGTGTTCTTTGCATGTCTGGTTCTGAGTTTGTATTCATTTTGTAGGAGCAAAAATGCTGATGTGGGCGTCTGGTTTTCTTCTGTAGTTCAAAAGTGTTCTTTCATATTTGGTGCCTTTCAGAACTTCCAGTGAACGCCACTTTAAATTCATAAACTTCAGCCACCTTAGAATTAAAATCCGCTTCAAGCCTTACATACTTAATGACCAAAACTATTTATACTCAGAGCACTGAAGAAAGTGTTTTCTGAGTTCAGTGCAACTCATTCTTCTGGGTAAACTTCTGAAAACTACTCTCTAAGCTCACAACTGGTTGTCAAACAGTTCTGCAGTTTGATTTTAGTAGGTACTTTCGAACTGATGTAACCTTTTAAATGAAACTAGCATTTAAAATTTCAGCATAAATTAACATTTTTAGTTTGGGCTAAGGATCCATGTAAAAAATTCTAGTTCTGGTCCTTTTTCCTTTCCTTTCCTTTCCTTTCCTTTCCTTTCCTTTCCTTTCCTTTCCTTTCCTTTCCTTTCCTTTCCTTTCCTTTCCTTTCCTTTCCTTTCCTTTCCTTTCCTTTCCTTTCCTTTCCTTTCCTTTCCTTTCCTTTCCTTTCCTT